ACTAACCCCCTTTATCACTGCTTAAGCTGTTGGACAAATTCCATGCAATGTGATGCTAATTCGCTTTTTAAATTAGTCATGGACCTCCTTTCACCAGGATATGAAAATAAATGAGGTCATTATGTGTGGGCTCATCTGTGTAAATTACAGGTCTTAGATAAATTACTCTATGTAATGTGATGCTAATTTGCTTTTCAAATTTTGTTATATTTTTTTCAATCTTCTTTTTCCCTTCACTCCACTCTAGTTGACAAGTGTGGGTTTGGAGCAAGACAGATTTTTTTGCTTCCTGCATAAGCAATTCTTATTTCAGGGGAACCTTTTCAAGGAGATGTGCTCTTACAATGTGAATATAGTTACTGTCAGAAGTAGCTACCTGGAGTTGAATGACCATGATCTATGCACTGAACCATCAATTCATTCTCAAGAGGAGCTTCATGGACAACAACATCCGCATCAGAAGCAATGTCTATAATTCTTGAAGAGTCATACGCATCACCAAGTATAACAGCTGGTACTTGGAAATTGAAAAATTAAAAAACCATGTTTTTAGCCAGCATTCTTCTATTTTGTTAGGGAATAATAAGAATACTGACAGATACTGTTTTTTTCTAAAGGAGTGATTCTTGACTTAATTTGTTGCATTCAACGATAATTTTTTCTACACTTTGGACAATGACACCTTTAATTTTGGCTTTCTTTCTCTGACGCAAAGAGAGCAAAACATTAGCACAATTGCCCACCAGTTTAACACCTTAAAAAAGTTGCTCTCCTTAAAAGTGTCTCTATCTAATTAAGAGGGGTAGATAGACAATTAGCAATGTTTTCAAACTTGCAGAGAAGCGATTTTCTAATGAGATTCAAATGCTAATATAAACAGAACCAAGGGGTTGGCCCTTGTCCCGGTTTCACTGTTTCCCATGATTTTCTCTTCAAGCTGGGCTTCTGGGGGCAAGAATCAACTTCACTCCATTTGCTTCTAGTTCGATGCCATGGCAGACGAGGGCCAGACATTCGAGGTGATTAGACACCTGAGCAAAAGATAAGTCCACAGCTGAAATAATAACATTTTGCAGGCCACCTGACGCTGCAAATGTACCTCATATTTCACTTCAAAGAGAATAATACGACACAATTGCAGTCAAAATTAGCAGATTCATGTCGAATAATATTTCATGCATGTGAGCTTCAGTTTCTGCGAAAGCGTCAAGTAAAGAACACGCTGAAACTTTGTTAATAAGTTTCAACAGTGTCCTCCTTGCTTCATGTGTGAAAAATCTTGTTTCTGTTCGGAACTGTCGGGAACTCTCTCACTATCGCTGTGATCTGCAAGAGCAAATCACTCAAAGTTGTTTCGAACATCCTCCTAATATCCCTCGCCTTTGCCGATCTGCTTGTTGGCGCTGTTCTCGTACCCATGCGAGCATCACAACATAT